TGATGCCTTCCAGAATGCAGTAACTATCACTGCCAGCATGATGTGGTTTATATTCAGCGAGAAATTCATGAACAATACCATTCACCTCAGTCCAACTACATCCAGGTCTTTTCCTAACCTTTTGGTTTCTCATCAACTTCCTAATCTTCACAGCACCTTCCTGCCTATTTGTACTAGAATACATATGCCACAGAAGTACATACGTCCCATCATCATCTGGTTCTAGCTCAATAACCTTCTTTGCTGCCACCTCTGCTAAATCCAATTTCCCATGGACTAGACAAGCACAAAGTAATGATCTCCAAATAACAGCATCTGGCAATATGGGCATTTCTTCAATGAACATTTTTGCTTCTTCTAAAAGCCCAGCTCGGCCAAGAAGATCTAAAACACATCCATAATGCTCAATTTTGGGTTTAAAACCATAGCATTGAACCATTATCCAAAACAACCTCTGCCCCTGGACAAGCAACCCTTCATGGCTACAAGCTGATAGAGCAGACAAAAATGTCACCTCATTTGGAGCAACCCCTGATTCTAACATGTCAGAAAATAGCTCCAACGCCTGTTTTCCTTTCCCATGAAATGCATATCCTGTTATCATAGTAGTCCAAGAAAACACATCCCTGACCACCATTTCATTAAAAATCTTCGCAGTAACATCAAGGTATCCACACTTTGAATACATATCCATCAAAGCATTACTCAAAATAACATTCTTTTCATTCAAATTCACTTTCTTAACATAACCATCAACACTGCCACCAAAGTAGAGACCCCCACTATCAGCGCAACCAGCAAGAACAGCTACGATAGTAACCATAGTTGGATCAACTTTTCCTTCACTCTTCATTTCTTTAAAAAGTTTCAATCCCACTAACGGTTCCTTCCCTTTTACATACCCAGATATCATAGCAGTCCAAGAAACTGCATTTCTAGACGGCATTTTATCAAACACGCGGCGAGAAGCGTCCAAATCATTGCACAATATAAATCCATTTAGCAAACTATTCCAAGAAGCAATATCTGGAACAAACATCCACTCAAACACTAGTTCAGCTGCTAAAATATCACCATTTCTACTATACATATCAATTAGAGCATTTCCAACAATTGGGTTCTCAAAACCCAGCTCATATTTCGTAACAATTCCATGAATTAACTTCCCATTGACCAAATCTTTATTTTTACCACAAGCTGACAAGGCAGCAACGACAGAATAACTGTCAGGTCTTAAACCGTTACGTATCAACTGGGAGAAGGCTAAGACAGATTTGAAGGGATCTTCGTATTGTATGAAAAGGTTAATGAGACATGTCCATGAGACTATGTCTGGGCGTTGGATTTGGTTGAAGGTTCTGTTTGCATCATCTGGGTTGTTTAGATTCGCGTAGGTGGTGAGTATTTTGCAAGACAAGGCTTGGTTGTGGTTTTGCAGCAGTCCTAGAGTTGTTGCATGGGCATGGATTTTCTTCAGATTTTTAAGATTTGGGCATTTCTCTAGGAGTGAAAGCAGCAGCTTCTTATGCTTCATTTACTTGCATCAATTGTTTCTTGTCTTTGCTCTTCTCTGTTTTTTTCTTCTCATTTTCTTCTCAAATGAAAAACACATTTGGAGTGAGAGCACTTCAGACCAACGGCCAATGGTTGTTCTGTCAAAATAAGGATCTGATTTCGATTCTAGACAACAATTATTAGGTATTGATTGTTCTTAAATTGTTAAGGAAAAATAAAAATAAAAACTTTGGGGTAGGATGACATTGGATGTGTACTTATTAAGAGGGAGATCAATTAATAATAGATAAAGTGATTTTTATTATATTTATATATTTAGAATATCTTAATTAATATCAAAATTTATTTTCTCTCGGCTTTTTAATTTACTATTGGCTTAATGGTCAAAGAATTAAGCAGAAATCAATTCAACCTCCCTAACCATCTTTTGTCTTGGGAGTTATTGACTGAATTCTGCCATATCTGTTTCTAGCATATACAATTTGCATGCAATTTACTGTATTAGTATTCAACTCTGTTACTATTACATATAACATAAGAACTAATTGTATACGAAAAAATGACATTTTATGACGGTACTTATGTGAAAATGTAAGCATACATATTGGAGAAACCAAATGAATATTCTTGATAGAGAGCAAGTAAAAACTACTAGTATAAAATTTTGACCAGGATAAAAGGATTAAGCGAAGAGCTTGAAAATGAGTAAATTCAGCACACTTATTCAGCAGTCATCACATGACATTGCAGTAAGCATGAACATTGTCATCACTGAAGAGATGGACGGTTTGATCAGGAACAGTTGAGTAAGCTTGGTCTGGGAAGTATCCGTGCACGCTTTCGTTGTAGCCATGCCTGTAGTAGTTGTAAGAAGATGCATACGTCGATTCATCCAGATACTGGGAAGCATAAGGATAGTATTCACTGTCATATGGAAATGGCCACAACTCCGCTTTCCTTCCAGTTCTCCTCACTACCTTTAGCACCTTCCTCTCATCAACGTATCCTGTCACCGTTACCTTCTGCTTATCCATGTCGATTTCCAAGCTGTCTACCCCTGCATTCATTTCAGTTAACTTGAAACATGATCTCCTACCGTCTATTTTTTGTAAGCAGTAAGGCACTTAATAAGCACATCATGAAATGCTTTGTTACTCTGATTCTTTACACATATTTGACAGACACGTATCTGACACTCATCCCGAATCCGAGTAACATAGATGAAATGCAAACAAGAAATACATAGAAATGAACTCTTGCCATCTATTTTTGAGATTGCTCTTCGTATCCTTTTTTGACATCCTTCACAATCCATGTGTACCAAAAGCTCAACAATCTATCAAAGGAAACAAAAACAAAAGCCGATAAAAGAACTCGAAATCAATATAGAAGCAGGGGTTTGAACAAATATCATCTGCTAGAGCATGCACTTACAGACATGGCATTGGAAAATCTTGTCTTCCCATAGAGCCAACCAAACATTTTATTGTGCTGCTCTTACCAAAACGTCAAGGCTTCTTCTATATTTGTCCTCCCTCAAGACTTTATCCTTCGAAATATCTTTCTCTTAAAGCTTCCGTACTTGTTTCTTGTGCTGGCAGATAATTTTAGCAATGAACATGGCTTGACTATGAAGCTAAATACAGCTGCCTAATGTCCATTTTACAGGACATAACCAGCTTTGAGTTGTCAAATTTTTGGTTGATTTTTAGCCCTCCATTTATTTTTTTACAATCTTTATCTTTATCTGGTTTATATCCAAGTTCACATATGCAGAATACTGGCAGAACGTAACTTAGATTGGTGGATAAATGAAAAAGAATATCAACATGGCCATTGCTCTATAAGTTGAAACTGATAGCAATCGGAATCGATTCCTGGTTTGATTCTTTCTTCTTTTAGGATGAATTTTTCGTTTCCAAAACATAAACATGCTAAACTAGAAACTAGAAAAAAAAAAAAAAAAGGGCATGCTTTATCAGTTAGAGAATGGCAGAATAATAAGTTTATTCTCTGCAAAAGTCACAGTGAAACGCAGGATGCCATGGTCCCCATACTCATTTCTTCATGTGTGAAACAGATAAAGAATTATAATATCCATCCAAAGAGAAACTAAAAAAAAAACATTGCATGCCTCAATGTAAGCAAAAGCCGCTGAAAACTTATCACCAAGAACTCAAGAATTTGAACAGTCAATTTTTGGGGAATGAAGCAAACAAAAGAGTGTAAGAATCCGCTACAATATCTTATTCTGCAATCTAACTGATGACTTGAATGGTTTCTAGCCGGTTTCTTTGTTTTTCCAGCTATGAGCTTGCTTTGGTCTTAATACACCCTGCTGTGTGTTTTTTACGAGTACCTTGCAGCCTTTTAACTATACATATTTTTGGTATTCTTGTCACACTACTCTATGCAAGTTCTTTAAAAAGAAAAAATAATACAAGTTGACAGGCTAAATTGGTGCAAAAGAATATTAGAAGAAGAAAGGAATGGTTAGATGTAGGTTTGGAGAAAACAGAATGTTGAGAGCTGTCTCAACTGTCCTTGTAGAGCATATGCTGTGCTAATATGGGATTGGCGTGGTGCAGCTCTCTCATCACTACCCAAACCCACCCGACTAGCTACTGTTCCATCAGTCCTCCCCAGTCCCCACCGCACCAAATTACATTGTACTTGCACAACCATCCCCTAACACCACCCCTCTACTTGCCTCAGCCTTGTGTTTCTGTTTGCTTCTCTTTAACTTTAGTTGAAGATGCCATTTACATATTGTTTAGTTGCTAAAAACCACATCCTTTACAATTGATGGCAAGGGTTAAAAAGTACCTGCTACCGGGAATGTTGTATCATGTCCATTTGCATTGCAAATACTCTCAATCTATAAATGGCCAACATTCTAATATTCTTAAGTTACGGTAAAAATGTTGTAGGAAATTGAATCCCTTTTATTTGGTTCTCACTTCTCATTACAGCCAAACCTGAGAACTAATCCCGCATTACCAGAAGCAGAAAAAGTTGGGGGCCAGGGGGGAGGCACTGCAACGAAAGAGGCAGAGGAAAACCCCAAATTGAAAGTTGGTACTTCAAAGTTCATATTTGTTGTTGTAACAATCCAGAATCATGAAAGACTCCAAAGCAGAACCGAGACCACTTGCATCATCGACAAATTATATTTTGCATAAACTAACTCAAATATTTTGCCAGAGTATCATTAAAAACTTATGTATCTATTTCAATATAAAAGAGGTACATATGTCAGCAGGTCATATTCGAACAAAACGACATAAAGGAAAATCTATGACGACCATTTTTCTTGAGAATATTTACAAACAGAACTTATTCACATAAAAGTTTAGAAAAGTGAAGGAACAAGAATTCTAAAAACCTCCAATACACAACATTCATCACAAGATAGAGATGATTCTGCAACTAGAACTATCAGCAGCACACTATTGTGATATATGGTTGAGCAGTAATTGTTGGCCAGAAAAGAACTGCTCTATCTCTTTGAAGCCCACTTTAGACTTCACATTCTAATTCATCGAGTCTGGACCAGTGAAAGAAGTGTCAAGATATAAACCATAGGGGATGATGAATAGGAGCATTTATGCCAACATATTATGGACTGTTGAAATATGACAAAGAAATTAACTAGAGGAGTTTCATGTGTTTTTTAAGCCTTAAAAAGCAGAAAGGAACAAAATAATAGTACAATCCATGGAAAATCAGACGTACATCTTGAGAATATTATTCTACCAAGCATGCAGGAACTGAAATTGGTATTCAAAAGGTACTCTCTACTATATTAATAGACAAAGAACAGGTAAGCAACAATGAAGGGGCAACATATTCTTCTCCTGCATATCATATACTACCTCTATCCTACAAATGATGTTGCTTGTTTAGTGAGCTTATGACACACTATCTCTGCATGCATATACAGATTATATTATAATGCTACATTGTATGATATCCAGAAACTCTCAGTAAACAACATGACTTGCCCAATATATTTTCAACAACCATATGCAGACAGATAGTAAATACTAATGCTCTGTTAGGACACTGGTGTTCCATTGGTAAAATATTCTTTAGGATAGCGTTTGGAGAGATTAGTATTGCAAAGGTCATAGTATATATTTCAATCATTTAAATAATTAACATCTAAATGTTATTCTACCTCTTATCTACACTAAGTTCCCTCTCTCTCTCTCTCTCTCTCTTCAATTCTCTTTTAATCGCATAGCATGTTATTCTATGCTTTATTTTTATCTTAGCTACCAACATATCATTATGATTGAGAGTTTATATTTGTTGGTTTCAATCTCATAATTTATTTACAATTCTAAGTCATCTTATGAGGCTCTAATTGGAACACAACTTTGTACATATGCACATTGGATGTAAAACTTAAACTCCTACAAACATGTTTTACAAAATAAAAGGAGGAACTTTACAAACTAGACCAGGCTCCATCCATAGACCATTAAAAGAAGATACAGGAAAGGAATCAATGAAGTTGATGTTGAACCTGGTGTTGAAATATGTATAATGTTGGAGAATATTGAGCACAGAGAAGTGCTATTAACATTACATGCATCACTCCCTTTTCTCTTTTTCTTTAGTACATACAAACAAGACTTAAACAGTAGTCAAAAAGTCACCTGAAAGTCTCCCGGCTCAATCTTAAAAACTACCAGTATGTACTACAAACCTGTTTAAGGAAATGATGATGGGGCAGTTGGTGTTGGGGGCAAGGAACAGGGTTCTCTCTGGAGTTCCTTAACAACGGCAGCCAATGCCTCAGGGTTCAGACCTAGGTCACAGAGTGCAATGAGAACTGAGAGGGTATGCCGATCAAGACCAGTATCAAGAATGTTTGAGATGTGAAATGCCAGGTCAAGAGATTCTCTGGCAGTCTTTGCAGCGTCTTCCATATTGAAAAGCTGGGGAAAAAAACAGAAGCTTCAACTAGGTATTCTTAATCTTATTAACCTCACAAGAGAAAACCATAATGGCTAAGAGTTCACTTAGTTGTTGATTTTACTACTTACACATTGTTTCCAGAAACATAAAATAGAAAGCTCGTTTGGGTATGAAAGCAAACAATATTTTGAAAAAAAGAAAAAAAAGAATCAAGATTAAATTTTTTAGATAACAAAATATAAAAAGCAAGCAACAAAAGCGATGATAATTAAGCAAAGCATGAATGACAAGTGCTAAGATAAAAATAGAACATAGAATACAAATTCAGAAGTCTCAACAGTCAATTCTTCCCAATTACTATATGACCTTGGTTTTGCCATTAGCTACCAAAGCCCTTCATTTGCAAAATGCATCAAATTTCCATTCTTTTTTTACGAGTTCATAGAATCGTTTCACCGAAAGCAAATAATCAACACTACTGCAAATCCCAAATACCCATTGTTGGAATCTAAACAACTAATTAATTTGGATCAATGCTTAGAGCAAATAGATAATGAAAACCCAATTTCGAATTTCATACAAAAGAGTATAAAAGAGTCACCTTTTATATAAAAGGAGGCAGCTCTTTGCAGAAGTAGAGCGGGAGATCGCTAGGGAAGACGGCGGTCCTCTCGCCTGTCCCTTCCTCGTATCTGGTTTTCTCCCCTAACCACCGTAGGAAGCAACTTTAGCTTATTGTATGCACCGATTTTAAGCCTTTTAAAGAATTGAGATTGACAATATAAAACAGTAGAGTATATGGTACCTTCAAATTCAATTGTTTGAATAAGAATATTTACACTCACTACTAAGTCAAATAGTGAGAATTAATAAGTCCCTAATTTGTAATAAAATTATGATTTTATATATTAATGATAAAATTCTTAAGTTTCATTAACAATTAACAATATTAGATAATTATCATATATTCATTTAATAGTTAACTAATTTATTATTTCTCGTAAATTTATCTTAAATTTATTGTCCATGTAAACACTTTTCCCTCCATTTGAACTGCATCTTTTAGCAAAAGACTAGATTGCACAAAGATATAAATTTCAAGTAAAATAATTAAAAAGTTGGTGATAAAAAAGAGAGGCTGAAAGCCAGTTTGAGGTATGAATATTGCTACAAAAGACAGAAGCATGTGTCTGAAACAGAGATCCCAGAACAGCTTGTCTAGTCAAGACACTGATTCCCAAAAATTATTGGCAAAATGGAACACCACTTCTGTCTGCAACTAGTTTCTTCTTCCAGCACCTCTGGTGGCTTTCTTCTCCTTCGACTTTTTTACCTTCTGGTGCTGTTTTACACCAACCAAATTGATGAACCATTTGGGTTTTCCAGTTTGAAAAACTAGATAACCGGCAGCTGCTCCAAATATGACTCCACATCCATATCCCATCAACACAACTTTCCATCCGAACCGAATTCCTGATTTTGAGTCATCTTCCAACGGCAAGGTTGGCGATGGCGGCTTTGGTGTCTCATTGCAAGACTTTGACAATGGGGGGCCACATAACCCGAAATTTCCTTTGTAGGAACTGTTTTCAAATGTGTTGAACTGTTTGCCCTGAGGTATAGATCCAACAAGTTGATTGTCCGAAAGGTCTATAAAGGAAAGAAATATTAAATCGACCAATTCCTCTGGAATCTTTCCAGCCAATTTGTTTGATGAGAGGTCCAGCCATTCAAGTTTGGTCAAGTTTCCTAGTGATGGTGGGATATGGCCGCCTAGATTGTTACTTGAGAGGTTAAGCCCTTTGAGTGCACTTAGCTTCCCCAAAACTTCTGGAATCACGCCTTCAAAGTTGTTATCGGAGAGATCAATGCTTGTTAATATGGTTAAAATTCTCACCAGTTGCGTCCTGAATCCTTTAATTGTCACAGTGAGTGAATAATTATAGGAACGACTGCCCTGCATGTATCTCACCGAGCCATTACCTTCATCAAGATATGCCATAGCTTTTAGATTCTCAATGTACCAAGTAGGCAAAGGACCAACAAAACCATTGTTAGAGAGATCTAGAACTCGTAACTTGGGGAAAGGAACTTTTGCTTTCGACTTAGGTACCAAACCATGGAACTTATTTGAGCTTAAAACAAGCACTTGAAGCTCTGGCAGAGTTTCCAACCAGTAAGGAAATGTACCCTTCATGTTGTTGTTGCCCAAGTCTAAAACCTCTAGGCTTGTACAATTAACCAGGGACTGCGGTAAGTCCCCTTCGAATCGGTTTCCATAGAAGCTGAGAGCCTTTAACTGACATCCCTTCATGAACTCTGGTAGCACTCCTTGAAGCATGTTAGATTGCAGTTGGAGACTCAGAATGTTGAGCCACGGAAATTCTACTGAGCCAGTCAAGAAGTTTTGAGAAAGACTTAAATAAGACAAAGTATTCTTTCCCACATCCCACATCCACTTTGGAATCTGTCCGTGGATTCTATTCTTAGAGAGGTCTAAGCCAAGTAGATCTTTATTCCCTCTTAGAAAATTTGGGAATTCACTCAAGTCACAAGAAGACAAGAACAATGACCGCAGTTTGGGCAATGTATAGTTGACTTTGATGTTCTTGCTTAATGACAGCTTAATATGTGAAAGATCAAGCCACTCAAGGTTTTTTAGCTCTGAAAACATGTCCAACCCTACAATGCTACTGAAGTTATTAAAAGATAGATCAAGCAGTGTAAGGTTTGCAAGTTTAAAAATTGAGCTTGGAATGTGGCCTTGCAGCCTGTTACTACCAAAATCGATTGCCGTCAAGGATTTAGATTGGAATGGCTGAATATCTCCTGTGAATCTGTTGTTTCCAAGATAGAGGTTTTGTAATGATGGTAGGTTCAAAACCCAAGATGGTATTGCTTCAATAAGAAAGTTATCAGAGAGGTATAAACTAACTAGCTTTGAAAGCCCACTTGCATGATAAGGAATAGGGCCTACTAGTTGATTATGTGACATGTCTAAATCTGTAAGTTGTGGGAGGTTCACAACTGATGGAGGGATATGACCACTGAAGTTGTTAAATGAAAGCAACAAAGCTATAACTTCTGATAGGTTTCCTATTGTTGAGGGAATTGAACCTTGCAAGTTGCAACCAACGAGATTTAGAAACTGTAAGGACCTTAGATTTCCAATTGAATCAGGCAGTCCTTCAAGGACTTCTGTGGTTTCTAGGATCAGAAACTCGAGGGGATTGGTCCAATTGGACTTTGGAAGATAAATGGCGAGTTCTGGGTTAATGCCTAAATCAATAAACTGAAGATTTGGAAATTGGAAAATGCTTTCAGGAATTTTACCTCTTAATTCGCAATTTCGGAGACTGAGAGATGTCAAAGAAGAAGAAAGATTCGTCAAGTAACTAGGATCAACAGATGACATGTTTATACCGTCGAGGTAAAATTCTTGTACCTCATCCAGGTTCTGAACAAGCCTTTCAAGAGCAGTTGTCTCAAGCTTCAATTGTGATTCATCAGGAATGAGTGGTTTGAATGAAGAAAGATCAAGTGAAATTAGCTTGGAAAGACGGGAGATATCGGATGGAACTTGGCCTGAAAACCGTGAATTGGAGAGTTTAAAATGTGTTAAATTTCCAAAGCTACCAAACCCAGCTGAAATCTTGGAATTCCTAAAATCATTGAATGAGAGATCGAGCCTC